ACCACGTCGTAGAGCAGCAGCTGAAGCAAGGGATAAAATGTCGTTGCAAGTCTTTTGGACTAGTCTCATTGTAAGCAGAGATTGAGATTGAAATTATTATTGATTTATGTTTTCTTTGTTTGTTATTATTGTTTTCTTATTTTATTTGATTATTTGTGATATTGAATAGTATTCTACTATTCAATGGGGGGTGTGTGTGAGGATTTATGTGTGCTTTATATTCATTGTGCTTATTGATTGTCAGTATATTATTAATTATTAGTTCATTATTATTCATGAATGTATTTTGTATATAAGAGAGTAATTTTTGTGAGCCATTTTGTGTGACTGTGTGTGTGTGTGTGTGCAGTGTGTAGAAGTGTTTGAGCGTAGTTTGAGTGTTATTGAGTCGTTGGGAGATAGTGTGGCACTATCTATCTTTATTTGATATTATTGTTTGAACCAGTAAAGCTGGTATATTATTTGAAAGAGATTCTGTTGAAATATATATTTTGTGAAATTGATAGCGAGCCCTGCATTGGCGAGCTAACTAGTGAATCCTGAGCTGAGCTGACTACTAAGGAAGCAACTATATAGACGGGCTGGACGGCATCCCCGAATCCATAGAGAAGACGCCGTGACAACATTGTGACTGGAAGTGATGTTTGATCTAATCAATAATCAATATTAATCATAAGATCAAAATCATTGAAAAGGCTAGTATGAAAAATGAACATCAAATTTAAACTTAATTTTAATTACTGTTAAGCTGGCTCTCAGTTTTGTGAACAATTCAAGTTAGTTTATATTTAAGTTTTTCTACTTCTACTTGCATGACTAGTCTGAAGTGTGCAATAAATTATGTGATGCTAATCGAGTGTAGTCTCGCAAGCCAGACCCTCCCCGCCTACGGTCATTTGGGTGGACGGCGGGGAGGGTCTGGTACATTGTCTACACTAGTTTTGTTCTCGCGTCCAGAATTGGACGTGACCAATCAGAATAAGTTATTGAGAACTGTCATCAATAGTCACACAATTGTCACATGATCAAAATGGCCGCTTTTTGTCTAGCTTGTGGTGATGATGTGATTAAGGGATCTAGAGCAGTTGCTAGCCAGGTATCAGTGATTTTGAAGCGTTATCTAACTAGAAGGTGCCAGGAACTCAACATGGATATTGATCTTAACTCGCTTATAGACCAATCTCACGTCTGTAGAGCCTGTTCAATAATTAGGGCAGTCAATGGGCTGACTACTATAATTATAGCCTTCTCCTCGTCCTTTCTCTTCTCATATATATCAATAGCACTTGGTAAGACTGTAAAGCATATCGTTTTCTCAAAACCAGTCGGTAAAATGGCAAAAAACATCCCTGCCCTTCAAAAACTCGCAAATACAGAACTTTTGTTCGTCTTTAAGTGTAGAAAACCCAAGAGCAGAGGCAGCATTAATAACAGCAGCTTCGATGAGCTCTTCCTCCTGTTCTGCGGCCATTTTTCTCCATTTGACGTGCATTGACACAATCTACGTATACATTACGTAACATTTTTTTTGCGCGCTCTCGGAACAAAACTAGTGTAGACAATGTACCAGACCCTCCCCAGACAATGTACCAGGCCTCTTATTAGTGACCAATTCCTCGTCGTCATTCACGACCGAACTAACCGAATCTTGGACTGTATTAATTTCCTCGCTTGGACTATCATCAACTGTTAAATCATCACATGGAATATTAGTGATGTCTTCTACTTCATTTGATGGTGGTAGCTGAGTTTCCTCAACTAACTCTGGATCACCTTGATCATCACGATGGACTTCAATTGGAAATAATCTTTGAATGGGTCTCTTTAGTAATTTAGATAGTCTCAAACCAGCGTAAACTCTCACTACAGCAGCTCTGACATTTCCATCTCTACCAGTTAATAACTCTTCTACACACCCAGTACTCCAGAAACCTCGTTTCTTCTCATCACTATGTATGACTACAATGTCTCCCACTTGAATCCAATATCTGCCAGATGAATTACGTAAATGAATTCTATGAGCTTCTCTTAACTCTAGAAGATATTCCTTCCTCCATCTGTTCCAAAAATGAGTTAACTGGCAATTTAGAAACTCCATCCTTCTAGTTAGTGTTGGTGGAGTTAACGTAAATTCATCTTCTTCAGTACAGCAAATGTCATCCCGAAGGCTTGTCAACCGTCGACCAATCAGGAGGTGGGACGGTGTAATGGGCTCATCTAAATTGTCTTGAGTAACATAAGATAAACGGGAATTGAGAATCATTTCAATTTCGATAACCGCTGTAAGTAATTCTTCATGAGTAAGACTAGCTCATCCGATGACCTTCTTCATACATCATTTAACTGACCGTATCAATCTTTCAAAGACTCCTCACCACCATGGAGACTTTTCCACATTAAAATTCCACTGGATTTTGTGATCAGAAAAGTAGCGCTTCACATCCTTATGATCCTCAATTTCCTTAAGTAGACTAGCCATCTTCTTGAAAGTCTTGGCATTATCCGAAAGCATCTTCCGTGGCAGACCTCTTCTTGCAACGCACCTATTAAAAGAC